GAGAGAGAGAGAGAAATGGGATAAGGCTCGGATGAGAAAGAGATAGTCGAATTATCGGAGTTAGCAACTGAGACCTGGCAAAGGGATAAATCATGGACCAAAGGGTCACCACTCAGGCTGTCATTTGCCAAAACAAAAATCTTCTCCTCTCTTGTTTGGATACGTTTTTTCCGTTTTCCATTTGCACTGAGAATGTGAAAACGAAGGCGACCATCCTTATCGGTGTTTATGTCATTAAGAAGTTTCTTCTCGTTGCGCCTCAGCTGTATCCCTTTGTTACAAAAAATTACCATGCATTAACTCCCTATGCCTCACTGATTAAGCAAAACATTCTCTAGGTTTTAAGGAGTTTGAGCAGGCATACAGGCAATTTCGTCAGCATGGCAAACAATATGAAGTAAATCTACCAGACCACTGTTCTTGGGAGTCTCCATGATCTTTTTCATCGTGTTAAACTTCAAGTAGTACTTTGTCATCAATCTTCCAGGTTCTATTAATCAGAAGCCAAAAATGTCATTATTTAAGCACTCAAAGACAATTATGTTCATCACTTTTCTAGATCCTGTGTAGAAAAGCTAGAAGATACTATTAATTAATTGCCACTATTTACAACCATAATCCTAATACTATAGCAGTACAAATTAAAACCTTTCACTTAACAGACCTTATTCAACTGACAATCATGACTACCATAACCTTTTTCTAGCAATTAATCATGCAGATACTACTGCAACAAGAAATGCTGAAACTGGATAGAGACAAGTATTGGAATACTACCAAAACAAAATGTACAAAATGGGAGTTGGAATCGATCCAGAACATAGGCAGATAATGACAAGGAGAGTCGACATAGCCAAGAGATAATGGATCGCACAAAAACCAACGTAAGGAATAACCCCAACAAGGTACAAGCCTTACGACCAAAATAACCATGAAGCATGCAAATTAATGCTACAACTAAACGATCAGGAGCCTATAATGATACTTTGGCACTATAATAAGCTAAAGCAATATAAAGTGATGGGAATCGGACTTGAGAGATGTTAGATGGAGGAGCTTGTAAGGATGTTAGATGTTAGATGGGAGTGTGGTGGGCACTCTCCGTAATATCAATCAGACCTTACCGCATTGGAAAGCGTAGTAAGCATTGATACCCAATTGTGACATTGATACCCAATTGCAGATAGCCGCAAGAGAAGGCTAGCTCCCCAAAAAAGCTAGTATCTTTCATCTGCCGGTGGGTCAATCTCAGTAAGGTAAGAGAGTGCAATATTATGGTGCATTATAAATAGGGATTTTTTGGATTGCAAAGCAATCTACGCTATGAACTTTCTTAGGGCCAATTTGACCATTATATTAATGACATTCACCTTTGGGAACACCTAGTATTGGGATGCATCTCCATTCATGCTACCTCATACGTCTAGATGTGTGAATTCCCATGAGCAATTCATAATGGCCCCTTGTTAGAGAAATTGATGAGTGTAATCTTTGACAGGTCCGTTGAACTGTTCTCTAAATACAAAACATGATTAATTCTCCTAAAACTCTAGATTTCAAGAAATGATTTGCAAGAAATACAATAGTAATTACTCAGTTCAACAGACCTGAAAACCATTTCAAAATCCATACATCATTAATGTGCGCTATTTTACAAAGTTTTACAAAATTATTGGATTGATCTGATTATATTTATTTATTTCTAGTAAATTGTCAGTAGAATGGTCAAACCAACTCAAAAAATCAATGAGGTGGTTACTTCAACCCACCAATTTATCAAAAAAATGGTCACTTTAAAAGATATTTTCATTGATCCTCAACTACTTAGAAAATGGCCGAAGTGTGCCCCTTCTGGGTTGGCACACAACAAGATTGGTAATTTTGCCCCACTTATATGACCTGAGCCAAATGGCTCAAATAACTCTACTTGTTCTCATTAATAACTCTTGTTCTGGATTGAGAACTGAGATCAAGCAACAAGAGTTTGGACTGACATAGGTGGCCAGAACAAATGACAAAAGTACTCCCATATCTTGGGTCCAATCCTAGAGCATGTGTTTTTAATTAAAATTTAACTTTCTATTTTTAGAACACAGAACAAGTGACTCTAAACATATAGGGGTAGTTCTATTCTTTGCCCATGCCACGTAGATCATGACAAATACCGAATGTCCCCCGCTTGTTCGCAGTTCCAAACCCAAAATAAGAGATTTTAATGAATAGAACATGATCCAGGACTAGAAAGCTGGAACAAGGAGGGTTGTTTACTTCATTTGGCTCAGGCTAGTCACGAATGTACCCTTACTTGTTCTTGGTTCCAACTTAAAACAGTGGCAATTTCGGAAGTTTTTCAACAAAATAATTGATGAGGTACCTAAGTGAAAATATTTTTGTAAAGTGTAAATATTATAGAATTGGTTGAATTAACAACTTAGAGGTTTTTAAGGTGGTTTGACCAATTTAATAATATTTCACCTTTATTTGTTGGCCAAGATACCTGAATTTAATAAAAGTATAGGTAAAACGCAATGTTCCTTTTAGATATTTGGTCTATATTTAACTGCCTATGAACTACACATATTTTGGGCATTTTACTTTTTATAGATTTCAAGTATCTTCCAAGTTGCCAAGATCATTTGGGGATTGATTGGGATTTAATATCTATCATTATTAGCATAAACTTTGACTAAGGCGCACAATGAGAGATTTAATTTGAAAATGAGATTTTATTTGGAAAGAAACCTACAGTTATGACTGAGGTGAAACAACGTAGTGATTTTTATGAATGTATAGGAATCAATTCTCTTAACTTGAACTATAATGTAGACAACATAAATGCTAATACAACTTGAAATATTTTAATACACTCGAAATTACAACTTTCAAAATCAAATTACAGCAAGGTCACTATAATTATAATGAGCTATTGACTTCTAAATACACTGAGAAGATACAACTCAAGGGTCCCTTACATATGAACAAAACCAGCCATAAAAGGAGATCATCAAATTACACATGTATAGTGTATATTTGAAAATTTAGCACCACTCAAACTTACAAGGAAAAAATATACATCAATGAATTCATAAAAACTCATCACAACATGATCTCCACTACATCAACATATATATGCTCAAGTATGCAATGCAACATGACCATGGAAAGCCAATCGGAGCTCTCGGGTCCTTGGATCTTAGCTATGAGCTATTGGGTGACATGCGACGGTATACCTCAAAATCGGGACAATTTATCATCTAACAAGTGGGAAGCCAAGCATCTACTAATACACACTTAAAACATGGAAGGATTTGGAAAGATCTAAAGCTCAAATCAAGTGGAAGAATCGTGGGAGAAAATCAGGCTCTTAAAACACAAAACCGGTTCAATTGAGTTTACAATTCAGCTCTCAAAATTTCGGTATAGTCTCCTCTTATAAAACCAACAATTCAAGGGATCAAAAAGAAGATCTAAGTGACTGTTATGATAATAAAAAGCTCAAAGAAATATCATTCAAAATTACTCCAAAATTCAAGGAAAAAGACCATAGAAACTATGTCAAAATATGCATGGATGAAGCCCTAAACTATATAGATCAAGAGAGATCAATGAAGACTCAAAGGATCAAAGATCTAATCATCAAAGGCTAAAGAGATGTCGCTGCAATGGAAAATTTGCAGCAAGGAGAAACTAAATGGATCAAAAAAATAGAAGAGATCTTACTCAATTGTTGAAGGCTTAAAGACTAGATCATCCATGGCTTAAATTTGAGCTTCGGATCACATTAATGTAGTAGTTTATGACCTTCAATGAAGCATTCTCTCATCTTAACTTGAAGAAGGATATTTATAGAAAGAAAGGAAGAGGAAGAGTTGCTTTGGTTGTGCCATACAATGGGAGAAGAGAAAGAGAGGTGCGTGCCGCTTTTGGAGGGAAAAATGTGAAGTGAACTCATGTGAGAAATGAGGGCTCAAGGGGATCTTTATAAGCTTCTACTCCCTCAAGTGTAGAGATGCTTCTAGATGGATGAATTTTGACTCTCCATGTCATCTACAAATGACAACAAAAAAAGACTTGATCCTGGCCCACCATCCACCATTACACCATCAAGATGTGTAATATGGATTTAAACACATTTATCCTCCTTTAATTCACTTCAATTTCCTTTGTTATGAAAATACCCATGCTCTTTACATTTAATAAAAATATAACCAAGATGGAGAGTATACATTTACGATAATTTATCAAATATTCCAGCAAAAAGCAAATCTCAAAAGGTCCCTCCATTTTATAAGAGTATGTGGGGCTAATGAAATCATATCACATAAGTTAGGTGGTTCATCACACATTTGCCATATAACCTTAGGGTTAGGCTTATAATTACAACTACTATACCCCTTCCAGAATCCTCCACACATGTGCACAAACCCCTTGCTTTAAGCATTAAACATGTACTAAAATATTTTTTCCAAAAACTTAATATTTCATAATATACCATAAATCAATGTCCTTAAGTTAAATCAACAAACTTCATAAAGACATGAAGGTCCCTTGAGGGGATGACATCACCCGAACGTCATCTCCAAGTGTGCCCCATGTGGGTGCCGGGGAACTGTCCATGCTTGTCATTATGCCTAAACAATTTTGAAAATCAGATTTTCTTGCCTAAAAAAATAAATAAAATTCTCGAAAATCCACAAAAATCCTTTTAATGATTTTCCATCAAACTAAATCATTTTGGCATTATTTAAAAACATTTACAAGGGAAATTAGGATCTCTGGAGTTGAATTATGAAATGGAGCATTCCACTTGGCTAGATCTGGAATCCAAAGCCACTTTCTTAGTATGACCCAACAGATTCATGGCCCACAGTGTATAATCAAGGGCTCATGATATCAGCCTATCAAAGTCAAACCAATGTGTGACCCTGAATCCCCAAGTTTAGGTGGATTTCAGGTTCACCCCCTAAAGTACATGCACACACATGGTGCAGGGGTTCCACTCTTAGCACATGTGCATAGTTCTAACTAGTGGATCCCTGAAAGAGCGGCCTCACATGCATTGTGACTGTATATGAACATGCTACAAGAAGGTTCCAGAGTCAAGGATTTAGGCCAATGTCCTCTATTGGCCCTAGCCTTCCTATACATGACTCTTTAATCCATTAAGCTCGTATATAAATCGTATTGCCCTGGCCCATCACTCAATCATGAGGCACAATCATAACAACCGATCCTGCCTAAGAAGTAACCCTCAACCCTCTCAGTACCTCCCATGCATATAAATCCTTCTCATAACTTAATTGGCTTTTCCATGACTCTTGGTCTCAGTGCGCCAAGATCCTAGAGTCATGTCGCTCTTTTACTCCCATTGAAGTTAAAAGCTATTAAAAATGTCAAAATTTAAGGCATCGAAAGCACATAATTCTAATAGTTTCAAACATAATAAGTTGATAGGGTGCTCTTTTGGGCTATCATGAAGACTAAGGATCTAGGTTGGATTCTAGACGTATCAGTTGAAAGATGGGCTATGTGGATTGCATGGTGTATCATCATCATCATCATCATCATCATCATTATCCGAGCCTTATAACAACTATTTGGGGTCACCTACACAAATCTTGTTTTGTCATTTCGCTCTATCGATGGTCATATCATCAGTTAGATCATAAATCACCATATTTATTCTCACTACTTCCATCCATGTCCTTTGGGCCTTGATGAAGAGAGATAGGAAAGAAATAAGTGATAGGGAAAAGATATGAAAAAAACGATTGAGGTAAATGAAAGATAAGAAGAAGAATTTGAAGAGTACCTTTGGAAAGGTTGAATCTTTGAAGGTGCTACTAAGTCTTCTCTATGGCCTTCAATCAAGATTTCAAGAAGCCCTTTCTAGGGTTTTCTTCGTCACAAAATTCTCCAAAATAAACAACTTCTAAGGATCATATGTCCCTCTCTCTCCTCATATACATAATTATTTCTAGAAACAATGACTTAAAATTCCCCTAAAAACTAAAATAAAATAATAAAATTACCAGATTGCCCAAGAGTAGTCTACAACACTCAAAAAGATGTAAATAACCCCAACAAAACTAATAATTACAAGTCCATAGAAGGCAACAATCCCCTCATCACCCATTGTTCTGTTTATAACTCTCAAACCTTTTTTTAGAGATGCGAAAGAGTGGCTTGGCCTTAGCTTCTTTGAGATAAGTGACAAAAAGCATTATAATTATCTATGGTACATCTGACAAAGATGATAAAACTGCAGTAGCATTTTCCAACCCAAGCAGCTACATTTTCAAAACTCTTTCCCATTTTATAAGTGTAGCAACCTTAGCTTAAGCCACATGCAAACACTTCAAACATCAGCCTCTCCAAATTCCTAATACTTAACCAAGAATCCAAGAACATTAACACAAAAGCATACCCCTTAGCCCCATAATCATGCTAAGTACAGGCATTTACGATTGGAAACAAGTAAAGCACATTATGATAAACCCATTTGAAAACATTCTAAGAAACCCTTATGATTGAGTTTTCTATTTCATTACACATGCAGACTCTGGTGCCTGCAGTTTCTCATGGGCTAGAAAGTGACAAATAAAAAATATTGACAACAATCTGATCAAAGTATTCAAATATACAAATAGATTTGCACAAAATAAACATACCTAAGGGCTTCAAAGCAAACCCATATTCATCTGTCCAGATCATCCCATATTCCGAAAGCTTGCTAACATTTTGAACACATATATCTAAAATAAAAGAAAACCGAAGAAAGTTACAGAACAGGAAATGCTAAAACTCTTCTATCAAAATTCAGAAGAAAGGTGCCTAGGGATACCATTCATGTGTTGCTGTAATTGTTCGGATGAAATCCCCTTTTTAAGCCTATAGTTTTCAGGATTCTGGTCATGAAAATGCGCAATGAGACACGTGGCCGCATAGAGTAAAGCAATAAGCCTATATTTCGTCACAAGCATCTTATGAAACATGCCTTTTTCATCCGGATATATAAGAATGAACATTTCAGCCACTCAATAGCCAAACTTATGTCCGAGACAGTATGCTGAACAATTTCTGCATTTAGATGCTCCACTGTACATTGAAGCAACCTAATGGAAAAGACATTCAATGCATTACTGACATAGTATATAATGACAATAGTATGTAATAAAAAAGCTCCTTACACTATCAAAAAAGGGATTGCAACTCCTTACAGTATCTCTAAAGGAGTCAAAAGATTATGAATTACACTTGAGGTTAAATTTCTATATCAATCTGGTACTTTCTCTAAAACAATTTCAAAAAATTCCTAAGTTGCTCTTTTCTAGTTTGGGAAGCTGAACAGTCAGGGGCATTTCAGTAATTTTATCCAAACAATATGTTAGCTTCATTATTTCATTAGAATTCGGTGGCTCGAGGAAAATTACGGTCCCGAACTTTTTCCTTTTTAGAAACACGGAAGAAAGTTTCTTTTTTTAAAAATGCATCTTCCTTGTTTATAATACTAAACTTTGACGGGCAATTTGGTATTTTTTTCACAATCTAGTTGCCCAAGAAATGTTACCTTTAGCCGTAGTTGTTCAGCTTTAGGAAGTTGGAATTGAATTGTTTGCTATGAAATATTTTGTTGTTCTTTCCAAAAGTGGGATAACGAAGGGCATTGTCGAAAATAACACAAAAAACTTCATTTTTAAGGTTCTTTTGGATTACCAAAATGCCCCTGATTGTTCAGCTTTCCTAATATCAGACAAAGTACTTTCAGAATTTTTGAATTTGAGGAAATACCTGATTTCTATAGAAATTTAAGAGCATACCCTTGAGTTTAATTTGCAATACTTTGACTGATTTGTAATCTTTTGACCCCTTCATTGATATTGTAAGGGGTCTCAACCCCTTATTTGGTATTTTTCTCCAATAAAAACGGCAGGGGCAAATGCCAAAAAACCAAACCATCACAGTCCAAATACGTACTGGGATTCTACCATCTCGCATCCACTCAAAAGATTTTCATACAAAGGGACCTATGATTGTGGACAAAGCCACCAATAAGAATTTTGATATAGAGAATTTCATGAGATTGTAATAGCAAAAGAAATTATGATCTAAATAGTGTAACGAAAAATTAACGGGGCACTTGAATCATAAGAATTATGGAAAACCGAAGTACTGTTTCTCTTCTTGTCATGATTATAACTGTTCCAGTATCATCAAATGGTGGCCGGCCTGCCCTTCCACACATCTGTATGACCAAAAATGCAAGTTATTCGGCAACAGTCCATTGAGAGGAAAAGGTCAATAATAATTTCACAAGGAAAACAAATATTGGGTGCTTTAGTAGTTAAGACTTCTATATAGATGGCAATAATGACATTGATTCTCTTAAACTATATAAATTATCTCTAAAATCATCTCATCTTTCAAGCAAAATCCTTACAGTTAATATTATAAACAAGTGGCTTATGTGCCAATCAATCCTCTCGGTCAAGCAGCAATCTCCAGGAAGCTCATTCCAATTACTAATAGAAGCAAAACAACATGTTCTATTTGCAAAAAATTCATGCATCTTAAGGCACCATCTTGAAAATTGTGCTGCTCCACATTATGTACATCTTTTACACAAGAATCATGTCCCTCCAAACAAAGTGAAGGGCCTATTGTCTCTGAGGTGAGATGCGTGACATCATTACATTACTCTGAATTAAAAAAAGATAAAGATGAATGCTCCAAGAAAGAAGCAAGAGAAAATAACTTTACCTGCAGAATTGTTGAGCGATCGTACTCCAGATAGAGACCCTTTTCCTTGTTGCTTAATAAAAAAAACCCATCAGAAAGGTAAGAATAAACTAATATCCAAAGTTCATTTATCCAACTCCAAGAGATCACTAATAAGTCAAGGAGAACACTACATACAAGTACTGTGTAGATTTGATTACAACTGTATGTGCTGGTAAGTTAATTCCATGTGCAAGAGTGTTCGTAGTGCACAGAATTTGGAGGTCACCCTTCAGGAAAAGACTTTCAACAAGGTTGCGGTCCTTTAGGCAGAGACCACCATTATGGTAACCAACTGCAAAAATAATAAAAATATTATTCCAACTAAAAGGGCATGCAAACGCATGTATTCATTATTTCCAGAACAAAAATAATTTACCGAAATGGACCAAAATAGAAAATATAAGCAAGACCGTGATGATCTCAATGTATCTCAGTCATACCACCATAAAGAATGCACGATTGCATTTGCTTATCACTGCATGATAGAGAAGCTGCTTTCAATCTTTCTTGTTGTTCCCTGCTCTTCACAAATGGATTCGAGTACCCCAGACCCATTGCAGTCTGCGAGAGGCATTGAGCTGCTTGTTGTGCTCCTTTTCTAGTGGAGCAGAAAACAAGAGCAGATTTCCCTCTTGAATGTTGCATAAGGATATCTTCAGAGCAGTTACTCCATTAGGCAAATCCTCTATGCCCTCCAGGCAGACAAGAACACAGCAAAAAAATTGAACGTGATCCGAATAACAGGTCGACAGCAAAAAATGCTCACCAGAAATGAAGTTCTGAAGCCGCTGAAAAATAAACAAGACAACAACAATCAATAACTTAAAAAAGAATGAGTCTCAATCCCTAAGTTTCACTAGTGCAAGGGAGCAGATTCAGCCACTACCCACTGATTTAGATTCTGCAACCCAAAACACAGGTGAACTTACAGCCTTGTAACCGACTTGGCCATTCACAGTGTTGGGTGGATTATTTAACAAAGTGAATGGCCAAGTCTGCCTCTTTACTAAACAGCAGACAATATATTCAGGGACTGTAAGATCAAAAAGAAATCTGCCCTCTAAAATACTTTCATGTACAAGATACTCTGCAGCAAAAGAATATCACGGAGTCAAACTACATGATCAATCTCATAAAAAATTCACCCTTTCAAATAAGAAATCATTTTTGGCTGGAGCATAGCCTGTAAAAAACAAAGTGAGAAGAGTGAGAGGGAAAGAAAAAAAGAGGAAAACGTTTAGCAAGCTAAATGATAGGTGGTAAGAATATGGTTCGGCAATTCTCAAGAAAACATAAATAGCAAAAATGATATAGTAAATGTGAGAAATCTGAGTACAATGCAGAATTTCAAGCTCCTAAACACATCCTTTTAGTAAACACAGTCCAAAAATGGCGGACAAACTATACTTCTAAATTTATTAGACGATATTAGATGATAAGAAAAGAGAAGCTAGAGTAGTTTCTGCTGACAGGAGATTTTACTTTATGTAAGCCACCAAATATCACAAAACAAAACCAAACTAAATAATTTCACAAATTAACCAGAGTAATTTATGCACTCAGCAGAAGCTTCCATTCACTAAGCACGCCCAAAAAAATTTACGTAAATCAAATATGTTGTAAATATTATTATATGCTCCTAATTCCCCGCAAGAGGCTACATTGATTTAAAACAGCAAGTCAAATGTACATCAACACATATTCTGTCAGATCCGCATGACTTGCATTCAACTTCTTTTCTAAATATGGCAAGAAGATAGAATTTTCTCAATATTACTTCATCAAACTACTCAAATAGTCATTACATGACCTTCACTAGTTTATAAGGGAAATAACACTTAGAGAATCGGATTGCAGAATTCATAATAAAGGGCATAGCTACGTAGCAAGTCAGTAAACAAGTACGCAGATTTCGTATGAAATGAATTGTGATGAAACAAATATGATCGTGAGACTAAACAATAAAGATCTTATCCATAGGCCCCTGTTAGCATGATTCTAGCATCATAGATCCAGGCAGAACTAAAGTAATATGATTAAATTTTTTTGAGAAATAAATTTTGAATATTCATCATGCGGAGAAATAGTGCATAAAGTTTGGACTCACATTAAGGGCATTTGCAATCAAAGTGAGATTTGAATGCATTTTTTACAGTTTAGCCGCTAGAGAACCTTTCAGAGGACTCATTCAATTCAGCAGTTTTTGGCAACTAAAAGACATCATTGCCAGGTCAAATAATCAATGGATTAAATCCCTTATCTGATTCTCTCCTCTTCCAATCAAGGGATCAGCCCCTCAAAGTTTGTAACCTCTCCTTCCTTGGCATTCCTCATGTTTAATTGCACTTGATACACATGTTTAGATCACACGCTTCTTACAAATTGTAAATTCATACAGGCAT